GGGGGGGGGGTGACAAGAGAGTCAGGGAGCATTTTTGAGGGGGTGTCCCGTCCCCCCCCCATCCCACCCCAACAAGGGGGACGTGATTACCCTGACGAGGACGGAGAAGAGCGAGCGGCAACCGGGTGCCAGGGGGAGGTAGGGGTCCAGCAGGTACTCGTGGAGGTGGGGATGGGGGAAGGCGGCCAGGAGGGACAGCACGGATGTCACCTGCAGGTTCAGGCTGTAGGGCTGGGGGTGGCAAAGAGGGCAGGGGGGGGATGCTTAGAGGGAGTTGGCACGGCCAATGTTCCCCCTCCCTGCCAGCATCCCCCAGTTTGTCCCCACCAAATGGCTGCAAATGCTACCGATGCTCTTTGGCCACTTTGTCCCCCCCTTATTGGGGGTCCCAGAACCTGGAAAGAAGGTCCTGGAAGGCCAGCATCCCCGAGTTTGTCCCCACCAAATGGTTGCAAATGCCACCGATGCTCTTTGGCCACTTTGTCCCCCCCTTATTGGGGGTCCCAGAACCTGGAAAGAAGGTCCTGGAAGGAAGGTCCCAGAACCTGGAAAGAAGGTCCTGGAAGGAAGGTCCCAGAACCTGGAAGGAAGGTCCTGGAAGGAAGGTCCCAAAACCTGCCCACCCTCCACTGTGGGTCCTGGTGGGGGCACAGAATCACAGAATCTTCTAGGTTGGAAGGGACCTTAAAGATCATCTTGTCCAAGCCCACCCTCCGCTGTGGGTCCTGGTGGGGGCACAGAATCACAGGATCTTCTAGGTTGGAAGGGACCTTAAAGATCATCTTGTCCAACCGTCAACCCAACTGACAAAAATAGACACCCCCACAACAAACAAGGAGCATCATCACTAAACCAGACCTCCCAGCACTACATCAACCCGGCTTTTGAACACCTCCAGGGATGGGGCCTCAACCCCCTCCCTGGGCAGCCCATTCCAAGGGCTGAGAACCCTTTCAGTGACAAAATTTTTCCTAATATCCAGCCTGAACCTCCCCTGGGGCAACTTGAGGCCATTTCCTCTTGTCCTGTCGCCTGTGACTTGAGAAAAGAGACCGACCCCCATCTCTCTACACCCTCCTTTCAGGGAGTTGGAGAGAGCAATAAGGTCTCCCCTCAGCCTCCTCTTCTCCAGGCTGAACACCCCCAGCTCCCTCAGCCTCTCCTCATCAGACTTATTCTCCAGACCCCTCACCAGCTTTGTCGCCCTTCTCTGGACCCGCTCCAGCACCTCAATGTCTTTTTTATGGTGGGGGGCCCAAAACTGGCCACAAAAGAGCAGTGGGAAACCAAGCATGATCTATTCAAACAACCCCCTTGACCACGACAAAGGCTGTGCCAGCCTGGAGACCCCCAAAAAGCCCCCCCTCGCCTCCCTGGGGCTCTGCCAAGGTGGGGACCCAGGTCCATGCCTGGCCACCCCCGGTACCTGGTCCAGGATCCGTGTCATCCGGTCAAACAGCACCTTGAGGAAATGGCCCTCGTAAAATGTCACTTCGGGGTGACAGGCGTCAAGGGGCCGGGGGGTCACGGGCCACCCCCAGGGGGCTGCGCTGGCACGGCACGTCTGGACCTGCCCGGGGAGGGGGGTGATGGTGGGTGAGAGACAGAGCCAGGGCCTGGGGGGGTGGATCTGGGATGGAGACCCCCCTCTCCCCAGCCACTCACCATGCCCAGGGCATCGTGCACGTAGGTGTCGTAGCCACCTTCCTCCATGCACGAGGAAGTCTTGGCCTCCTCGGGGACCAGGCAGAGGAAGCTGGAAGAGAAGGGAGAAGGATGGGGACCTCTGGCACCCTCACCCCAAACAACGTCTCCCTCCCATTGCAGTGGAACTTCCCCTGCTCCAGCTTGTGCCCGTTGCCCCTCGGCCTGTCCCTGGCAACCACGGAAAAGAGTCCGGCTCCATCCTCCTTCAACCCACCCTTGAGATCCTTGGGAGCATGAAGAAGGTCTCCCCTCAGCCTTCTCTTCTCCAGCCTCAAGAGCCCCAGCTCTCTCAGCCTCTCCTCACCAGGGAGATGCTCCAATCCCTCCAGCATCT